ACTTTAATATAATAGTGACAGGAGCCAGATTTTTTATATCATGTATGTGAAATTTGCACATCAAAATACATAATAAATAGCACATTTTATCTCTGAAGCAGACGACTTCTCAAAAATTGTAGACCAGTGTTATTAACAAAGCTGCCAATTCTCACTTTTCCAGTTATTGTCAAAATGGCAGAAATCAGCCACGCGTAGCAGCAGTTGTCTCCCGCTAGATTGATGTTCGGAAAGAAACCTTCCTGAAGATCTGTCCAAATGTCCTGCTACAATAAGTAGGAGAAACAGGAAACTTGTACTGTTTAAAGACATCTAACTGAGCTGAAAGTCTTTTCTGAAATTAAAATATCAGATATTTTAAAACAGTTCTTTGGAAGGACTCAATCCAAGGGCTAACTGCCGCCCTGGCTGCTGGCCCACACTGGATCAGGGACCTTCCTGGCTTACACAGCTATGGAGGGTCTGACCAATTGAGACCCCGTCTCCGACCTGAATCTGTCCCCCTGAGAGAGGAATCTCCTTTGCCAGCATGACACCAAGCTCCATTACCATATATTGCAGTCAGGGTTATGGGAATTATGTCAAGCTGAGGAAATCCCACAACGTGCATCCTCTAACACAAGGACAGACTGCTCTCCAACAGATTCAGTCAATTCCAAATAGAATGAAATTTATTTTCAAAGGCCTTCTTGCTACAGCAGCCACTGGTTTGAGAGAGCCATTCTCCAAAGTTATATCTTGCAAGCACAGAAAGATTTGAATATTACATTTGCAGAATATGACTGCAAGGAAAATGTGGAAATATATGCATATGGATATAAAGGAACTGGGTATAGCAAAGGTACAGCTTGCCTGTGCAGAAGATCACACTTTCACAGGGACCAGTCCAAAACTATGGAGCAAGAAAGGAAGGATGGGTCAGTGGTTAGCACACCAGCCTAGGATTTGGAAGACCTGCATTCAAGTCCCCTGCAGGAAGTCTCTGCCACAGACTCCCTGCATGATCTTGGCAGGTTAGGTTAGCTTACCTCATCTGTAAAGTGGGGACAATAGCACTGCCCTACCTCACAGGTGTGCTGTGAGAATAAATACATGAAAGATAGTGAGACACTCAGGTAGTTGGGGTCGGATAAGTACCATAGGTAGAACAAATGTCCACAGGATCTAAGAAACACCAAGACATGCACTACTTTCTCCTCTGACAGGGCCGGCTCCAGGCACCAGCGCAGCAAGCAGGTGCCTGGGGTGGCCAACGGAAAGGGGCGGCACATCTGGCTCTTCAGCAGCAGGTCCCTCGGTCCCTCTCGGAGGGAAGGACCCACCGCTGAATTGCCGCCGAAGAATGAAGCGGCGGTGGTAGAGCAATCGCGGCTTTTTAAAAAAATATATTTTTTGCCGCTTGGAGCCGGCCCTGTCCTCTGGGCGCAAGTTGCGGTTCCCTTCACTGCTGTAAACACACAGCCTGTATAAATAATATTTTTTAAAGTACACAGGCAATTTTTCCTCTGGGGAAAAGAAGAAAAGTACCACATGAAACCGATGTTAGTCATGTTACTTAATGCATCCCTGGAAAGTGCTCAGATCTTGCAATGATGAGCGTGGTATCAGACTAGAATGAATAAAGGTGTGAGACTTTAAACAGTTCAGGAAGTACAAGTTGACATTTTCATTATTTGTAGTATGGCAGCACCTATGAGCCCCTGTCACGGACCAGGACCCCACCGTACTAGGCAAAATATTGAATAGATGCGCATGTGATGATAAGTATGAGGCATTACGTCTCACAATGCATATGCACAAGGGGGCTGAACTGAGATTGCAGAAGCAGTGCTTGACAAAATAATGTTCTTTTAACATAGTTTTTGTGTGTGTGCATAATAAATAATAATCATCATTCCCAGTTACCACATTTATTACTTGCTTGGTCTGGAGTCTAAACTTCCCATGTCACTTACAAAGCAATTCAGCAGATCTTATGCAACTGCAGTGAATGTGGCTCTATATAAACTTGCTGCAAGTAGTATTGATATTATTCAGCATTATGAATATGGGAACGGACGGACAATAAAAATCAAGAATGATTAACTCTATGGCCTAATGGCTCCGTGGCAGCTGCAGCCAGAAATCAATGCATTAGGTCAGTGAAAAGCAATCTGCTAATTTTCCCTGTGAAAACTCTCTGAGGCAGAGCTGTGTTGTGCTCCCTGTTTTTTGCTGTAAAGAGCTGTCATTTCTATAGCAAACCGAACGGAAAGCCAAACCGGAGGAGAAAGCATCTGACATCACCTAAGGTGTACGGGGAGATTTTGGCAAACCAGTAACGTGCCTGAAACCACTATGGCTTATTACTAAAAGCAGCCTCGTCAGCAGGCTTAGCTTAACCAAGGCAGGAGGGGAGGGGGTTTTGGGTGCCACAGAAAGGGCAGCTTGACCCCGCGTCCTTCCTGATAAGAAGTATGTTGAAGTTGCTGATACATGAATTTTAGAAGAGCAGGATGTGCCCCGGGAATGTCTATTGGGGCCTCAAGGCTGCAAACTCCGGAAAAACCCACACCCGGTTAATCAATAATCAGAAGGAACCTCTTGCTTGATCATTGAAACGGCTTACTTAGCAAGTTTTCTTTAAGGGACCTGTCATTCTATTACTAATGTATAAATAAGGGGGGAAAGTTTGAGGTACTTGGACTCGTTTGGACTCTCCCTCTGGATACGTCTCGTGGTCCCCACCGGCAGACGGAAGATTTGGCCACTGGAAGCCTGTCACTATGTCACTCGAGAGCCACACTCGGCTTTGGTAACTATCAAGGGCTGGGGGGGCGAGGGGGGGGGTTACTAACCTGTTGTGGACGTGTGTAAGTGCTTGAGACTAAGTAAAGTTTAGCTTTATGTGAAAGCACTCTTGTGTTGTCCTGTTTGTGTCAGCCATCTATCGGTCCGACAGCCGTGTCTCCCCTGATTTATTTCCTGACATCACCTCGCACAGAGTAAAAGTTACCAAGAGCTTTGGGTTGAAAGAACCATGGGTAACAAAGGAACCATGGGCTAAACCATTTACAGAATTCCTCACCCAGGGTGCATGATGAATTCATCATGGCATTGGCCCCAAATAATAGTTTTAATACACTTTAATTAAGATCGAATTTCATGTGCCCTGAAAGCACAGACCCAAACACCACCTTCCCTGCCAGAAACACCTAAAGGAAAGGAAATCTCTGCAAAATACCTTTCCCCAAGATCATTCTATCAGGGGCATCGGATTTGCCATCAATTTTAGGTTCTTCTATGGCTTCCAATCACTGTGGTATCTGAGCACTTTCCAACACCCCCGTAAGGTAGGGCAGTGCTGTTATCCCCATTTTACAGATAGAGAACTGAGGCCTAGAGAGACTAAGGCCGAGATCCTCAAACATACTTAGGCTCCTGATATCCATTGATTTAATTCTTCAAGTGAAATCCATAGAAGTTAGGAGCCCTGCTCTAGGGAAGTGATACTCAGCCTGGAGCTTCAGGAAACTCTTGAGGGCCCCCACATGTGGCATCCACTGATTGATCATAGCTCCTCTTCAGTTCTTCCACAAGTCTGTGGAGCAGGCTGGGGGCAGGGTCCGCAACAAAATGAGCATAGTGGCTCCCTAACTCCACCTAGGACACAGGGAGGGAGGGAGAGATGGAGAGACCTCTCCCAATAGCCAGGAAAGGGAGAGAAGACAGGGAAAGACTGGAGGCCAGAAGAGGGAGGAAACAGGACGCCGGAAACTAAAAATAATCCCATCTTATTGATGCAATGTTGTTTTCCTCATGATTGTCTCAACATCCACATGATGGTGAGACAAGATGACACACATCATGATGGAAATAAGTCCATGGCAACTCATTTGTTTGTAGCTCCGTTCAGTGACAATGTGGCCTGTTGCTCTAGGGGTTTTGCTGTTCTAGGCTACTTGGATAATGTCTGCTCACTCCCAACTCAGTCATTCTGTGGGGAAAAGTTTGTTCTTACAGTATTTACTCTACAATCAACTAGCGAATCCTGGTATACACACAATGACCAAGATTTTCAAAAGTGACTAGCAATTTTGGCAGCCTTAAGTTTTGGGTGCCTAATTTGAGGCCTGGTTTTGTGCTGAGCGCACACTCCCTGAAAATTAGGCTCCCTGAAGGTGTGTCAACTTCGGCACCCCAAAATTAAGCCTGCCGAAATTGCTAGTCACTTTTAAAAACCTAGCATATGCTTTTAATATGTAACAATTTCCTGAAGGTGCCTATAGGGGGAGCTTTTCAAAGGCACTTGGGCGCCCTAGCAATCCACCCCATGCCCACTTCCCCCTCACACTCTAGACCCATCTCCATGATTACTATTATTCTCCTGTTTCCTTTGGCTGTGGCAAAGCCAATCAGCTGATACAAATCTCTATTCCACAGGAGAAGTTACCCTGAGAAGGGAGGGAAATCATTTCCCAGACTGTGCCCTACCCTAAAAGATGAAGAGGAGGCCGTGTGCAGGTGAGGGATGGTTCTGCCCAGAGGATATGGGCCAGACACCATTTTGCTGCAGAATTAATTTTAAGAGGAGAAGGGTGTCATGACTGAGGTTGTTGCTCTTGGTGAGGCAATCTGTGTGTGCTGCTCCTGCGTAGAAGTTCTCCTCAACTCTTTAATGAAAAGCTCTGCTTTCAAAATGCCCTTTGCTTTAACTGGATAATTGAAACGCAATGCACTCTCTTGGTCTTCCTATCCATATCCTGATAGCCAATTTATTCCATCTGCCTCCGATACTGGGAACGTCTCATAAGATCACATCTGTTACAGTGCCATATCCGTTGAATTAAAGAATTTAAAACTGCAGTCAGACCTGGAGTTGGAAACTTGCACTGGATAATTTGTAATTTTCTGCATGTTAACAGTTATATTTTCTCCCCTGAACACGCCGTTAAACAGCACGATCAGAGACTGCTAAGCTTTAGGGCCTCACATTCTGGCAACTAATGTGCTATTTTTTTAAATCCTTGCTCATCCTTATCTTTGCACCACACAATTTAGCTGTTGCCTTTACTTGTACATGTAATCGGCAAAGCTTTTATCATTAAGAACCAATAACAGAAAAGCTAATTCAAGCTAAATTATTTATAGATCAGATCAATGAGAAAACCCTATTTTAGATCACTGACTCTTTTGTCATGCCACAGATTAGGTTTCACCTGAAAACAAAGGGAAATCGTACACAAGACACTGCAAAGACACCAGATTCTTTTGCATATTTTAACATATTTGGACAGTGTTTCATTAGTTTCACACCAGCACTGTACAGTTTGTGTTTTATAGGTGGATATACACTGGGAGCAACCACTTGAGTGCCACTCGAGTGGAATTATTTCATTTCCACCAAAGTATTACAAGTGCAAATTTCAGTATCTCACTCTGCTTCTCAAAACAGGTAGGTCTTTGTATTAACTGTGTAGCATCCAACAGACAACCCAGTGAGGAACGCAGCACAGTAACTAAACCTGGTAACAAGAGAGGGTGATGTCAGAGTTGTGCTTTAGGCGCCAATCCTACAATTTGGTGTGTGTGTGGGGGTTAAGACTGAGGTTGGCTGGAGGCCATTTCCTTGGTTTAATTTGGAGCAGCCTCTGGGCTTTTCCGCCAGAAATGTCCTCTGTGCTGGAGTCCAGGAGTGGTGGGGATAACCACTCTGATTTAGGTGGATTTAAGGCCCCCTTTGTGCAGTGGGAGTATCAACAAAGGGGCCACACCAGGACCGAGAGGCTGGCCCACAGTGCCCAGCTGTAAATATACAATAACTAGAACTAAGCAAGGTGTTATTCATAGTCACAACATTTGAGCTGAGCTGAGAGCACAAACTTCACTGTAACACAATGGAGCAATGAACGACAGGTTAGGTCACCACAGGGCTTAAATTCTCCTAGATTATTTCCCGGAGTCCTGTATGCCCCCTCCCCCCATTCAGGGCTCTGGGCTTCAGTTGTGGCAGGAGGTTTCAGGGCTTTAGCCCCACAGGGGTTGGGGGTCACACTGGGGCTCTGGGCTTCAGCCCATTAGGGAAGGGAGGGTGCCGGGGCTCAGGGCTTTAGCCACGGGGCCCCACGGACCCCTGAAACTGGCTCTCGCCTAGGGTTGCCAACTTTGTGATTGCAGAAAATCAAACACCCTTGCCTCACCCCCTGCCCTGCCCCTTCCCTGAGGCCCCCGCTGTTCACTCCATCCCCCCTCCGTCTGGCACTCGCTCTCCCCCACCCTCACTCGCTTATTTTCCCCGGGATTTCACAGGGCGTTGGGATGTGGGAGGGGGTGAGGGCTCCAGCTGGGGGTGCAGGCTCTGGGGTGGGGCTGAGGGGTTTGGGGTGCAGGAGGGGGCTCCAGGCTGGGGCTGAGGGGTTTGGAGTGCAGGAGGGGGTGTGGGTTGTGAGTTGTGAGCTCTGGGAGGGAATTTGGGTTTGGGAAGGGACTCAGGGCTGGGGCAGTGGGTTGGGGTTTGGGAAGGGGTGCAGGCTCCAGGAGGGGGCTCAGGGCTGGGGTGCAGGAGTGGTGAGGCTCCAGCTGGGGGTGCGGGCTCCGGGGTGGGGCCAGGGATGAGGGATTTGGGGTGCAGGATGGGCTCTGGGCTGGGGGTAGTGCCGAGGGGTTCAGAGTGTGGGATGGGGCTCCGGGCTGAGGCAGGGGGTTGGGGCGCAGGAGGGGGTTTCAGGTGTGGGCTCCAGCTGGGTGGCGCTTACCTCAGGTGACTCCTGGGAAGCGACTAACATGTCCGTCTCCTAGGCGGAGGCACGGAGCTGCCCTGGCCACCCCGGCCACTTCTGGGAGCTGTGCAGAGCTGGGGCAGGCAGAGAGCCCTGCCGACCGCACTTTTAGTGGCCCCGTGGGCAGTGCTGACTGGAGCCACCAGGGTCCCTTTTCGACCAGGCGTTCTGGATGGAAACTGGATGCCTGGTAACCTTACTCTCGCCCCTCCCCCCAAGGGGGTTGAAACTATTTACTGGAGCTCCGCTCTGGACAGCTCTGGCTGAATTGAGCCCTGGGTCAGTCATTCTCAAACTGTGGTATATGGGTAAAATCCCCGGACAGCAGCCACCTAGGCCCGCCACAGCTGCCCAGGTTTATGCAGCTCCCAGCCCTGCCCCCACTGCTGCTTGGGGAAGAGTGCATGGGGTAGAAAAATCAGTGGTTCTCTTCTTCTGAGAATCACAGGTAGGGCTGTACAAAACTTGCCAGCTTTGGACAACCAGGCCCAGAGAAACAGCCAGTCTGCCTGGGAAGCAGTTATAATGCTAGGACTGGCCAGAGAACAAGAGTTACATTTTGCAAAGAATGTTGAGATTTCAGAATTTGATTTTTATTTTGCCTCAGATGCCCATACTGAGACCTTCTGAAAAATGTCATGACAAAATACAGTGGAGAGACTCAGCCACAATCGCCAATAGCCCGGTGTAAAACTGACCCATGGAGACCCACATTTAAATCCTGCTCTTCTTGATTTAGAGCAGGGACACAAATCTAGGTTTTTCCATATGCCAAGTGAATGCTGTAACCCCTAGGCTACTGGCTGTGGAGTCGGGGAGGTGATACATGGCCAGAAAGGGTTAAACATCCTGCAGGATAAATGACTCAAATTTAACACTTACAGACATGTGGGGAGATAATGTTTGTGTTTTTGTGTATTTACATATACAGGGGTAGTGGTCAACAATGTAATCAACAGTCCCCAACTATGCTGTATTCTGTTACTTCAGAGATCAAAAGAACATCCAAGCAATTTAAATGAATTGCAAACTCAGGATATCTCTGTATTCCTCTCATTTTTGAAATGTATAGCAAATCATCTGTGAATGGTGGAGAAATAAGCAATTGCCTTTTGTTAATTCATATAGCTAAGTCCCCCGTGATGGACCTACTTCAAAGTTGCCCTAATTACCTATTGTAAGCCAAGTGACTCCGATTTGTCAAAGAAGCCTTGAAATTGTATAAAAGATTCTTGGGTCCTGATCCTTTTTATCTCAGATCTGCTTGAGGTTTCATTCAGGGGAAGCCTAAGCCACAAGGACTGAGATCTCAGTTCTGACTGGACCACCCAGAAATATAAACATTGGACTATAACCTATGGACTATTTCTGAAAGAACTCTTTGCAACTACAAAGCTCACCATCTCTGCTATGAATCTGAACCTCAAGAATTGAACTCATGTCTATATGCATACTGATCTTTTAACTATACTTTCTTTTTTTTTTTTAAATAAATTTTAGTTTAGTTAATAAGAATTGCCCGAGAGCGTGTATTTGGGAGAGACCTGGAATATTCATTAACCTGGTAGGTAATAAGCAACAAAGAGTCCTGTGGCATCTTATGGACTAAGACGTATTTGAGCATAAGCTTTTGTGGGTGAATACCCACTTTGTCAGATGCATGTGGTGGAAATTTCCAGAGGCAGGTATAAATATGCAGGATGTTTATGCAGAGAAAAGCAGTTTCTCCTCCCTTGGTCTTCACACCTCAACTGTGAGAAGAGGGCCTCATCCTCCCTGATTGAACTGACCTCGTTATCTCCAGACTGATTCTGGCCTGCATATTTATACCTGCCTCTGGAAATTTCCACCACATGCGTCCAGGGCTGGGGCAAGGAAGTTTCGCACCCTAGGCAAAACTTCCACTTTGCACCACCCCCTGACCCAGCTAACCCCACCCCTCGCCCCACAGCAGCTAATCACACCCACCCCACCAGAAGAGCCCCCTGCCACGGCAGCTAACCCCACCTGCTGCAGCAACTAACCCAGCCCACCACCCTCCCCACCCGGGAGCTCCCCCTCACAGCAGGTACCCCCCCTCTGCAGCTAACCCCTCCCGGGGACGCCCCTGCCCCCCCCCCCCCCGTGGAAGCTAACCCCGCCCAGGAAGCGCACCCCAGCTCACCTCCGCTCCGCCTCCTCCGCTGAACACGCCGGCACTGCTCTAATTCTCCTCCCCTCCCAGGCTTGCAGTGCCGATTGGAGGAGAATTAGAGTGGGGGCTGTGTGCTCAGCGGAGGAGGCAGAGTGGAGGTGATCTGGGGCGGGGAGTGGTTCCCCTGTGCACCCCCCCCCCCCATTACTGCAGGCGGCCCTCCCCGCACCACAGCTCACCTCCACTCCACCTCCTCACCTGAGCAGGCTTTTAGGCGCCCTCAACCACTAGGCGCTCTAGGCGGCCGCCTAGTGGTTGCACTGGCCCTGCACGCGTCTGACGAAGTGGGTATTCACTCACGAAAGCTCATGCTCCAATACGTCTGTCAGTCTATAAGGTACCACAGGACTCTTTGTTGCTTTTTACAGATCCAGACTAACACAGCTACCCCTCTGATACCTGCTAGGTAATGTGTCCAATCCTTTGGGATGGGTAGAACCTTTTCTTTTCTATGATGAAATAAGATTTTCAGTAATCTTCATCATTCTTGACATGGGTGTCTGGGTGGAGGCCTGAGGCTGGGTTACTTTAAGGGAACTGTGTTGCTGGCT